ACCTCAGGGTTTCAAAGCCAACTTTTGCTAATGTAAGCGCGAAAATTTACAAATTTAAATAAACGAAGTTGAGAATTAATTAATGCAGTTGTAATTGTAAATGAGTACTTATTAATTTAGTTTGTGTCGACTTTAAATTATAGTATCAAAAAAATTACGTATCTCTGTCGAATTTACTAATTACATTATATTGTAATAAAATAATAATTAACTAACACGTTTCGAAAGCATCATCATCCGAAAACTTCATTTCCATTTTTTATTAGTCTTTTCAAGGGATTAGGTAAATGTTTTCGCCAACTTTCACAAATATGGGCCACTTACTTAAATATTTACAAAAAAACACAAATACTGTGCAATAAAGTAATTACTTTAGCAAGTTTTTTTTTCAAACTGGTTACCAAGCTGTCTATATATTTCAATAGACGTTTCGAAAGTAATGCTGTTTTCTTCTTCAGAAAACTATCTCTAACTATTAGTTTTATTAAGATCACTTAATTTGTAGTCTTAATAATTATTTTAGACCACTGTCTTAGTATTCCAAGCTGATGAGGGGATTGTAGTGCCTCAAATGTCCTCCCTTCATTTGTTTGGGGATGTGGGGAAATTAGGGCCTATATGTCCACAGTAAAGCAAGTATTACAGTTGTTTGGAAACGTATGTTTTCTTTTCTCTGTTACAAAATTGTATTGTTATTGATATTTTTTAATTGGGCACGTTATTTAAAATAAACAAATGTATGTGCGATTTCTTTTTATTTTTATTAAAGCACTTAAAATTATTTAAAAAACTACAACAATTACGAAATCATTCTTTTTGCAATAATTTGTGATAATTTCCTGTTGTCTATGGCTGCTAAAGAATAAACAAATGACTCGTCGTTGGTGAGTTTCTTAAGAGCATCTTCTGGTAACGTTTCTATAAGTTTTAAACCTTCTTCCTCCTTTATATCATCAGGTATATACTTTAAAAGGCGACACACATTTTTACATCCAACTTTCCCCATTTCTATACTGTTATCACAAAATAAATACTTCTAAAAACAAAACATTTATTACTTTAATTAGTTGTTGTAAAGTGTATCCACCAAAAACTTACTTTTATTGTAGTACTGTAAAGTTCTAAGTAATATTTCAGTCCGGCTGACGAGTTTCTAGCTTGCTCAGACTCCTTATCAGTCTGACTATCAACTAATTGGCAAAGCAACAAAAGAACATCAGTAAACATCTCCGCAGCTTTATCTAAACCTTTAATGGATTTCACAGTTTTAAAACTATCTTCCCATTCAATTTCCACACCCTGAGGCAAAAGCTATTGGAAAAATTAAAAAGTTTAAAATATCTTTGGTCAAACAATACTAAACATTTCAACAAGTTTAACATAGTTAGGAAAAGGTTGTCCAGGTAGGCAGAAAGGTATATAAGGAATATCCAGCAATATCAAATTCTACTTACAATACAATAATTTATGAAACTGAAATGTGTATACCTTTTTAGCAGTTAATCCATATATTATTAAGAAGTTATTTTGTTTTTATAGAATTAGAAATAATTCGAATTGAAACAGTTAATATTTGAATTATTTTTTTATTTAATTTCATCATTGCACCGCCATCTACCAGTGCTACTACGTATCACCAAGGTAAAATTAGCGAGCACAAACTATCACACCTGTGTTCGCTGGTAATATAATTGTAGTACATAATTAAAGCTGATAGATGGTAGGATGGACCATATAATTATATAAGTTTAGGATGATATTGAAATTAAAGATGTTAATCTGCTGCAGAATTAGAATACCCTGCGATTTATTCGCTTAATACCAAAGCTTTATGAATAAAAAGATGAATATAGGGAGATATGGGCTAGATTAAACATATGAAGCGACCGAGATGCTGATTCTCCTATTATACTGCAAAGAAGCAATAGGGCTGCAAAACGAAGAGATAAAATGTTTATGAATAAATGAATGGAAGGGTGATATGCTAGAAGATATGTGAAACTTAATAATTGAAAAATTAAGAGGTAGATGCAAGGATGAAAGAGAAAGCAGGTCTAACAATAATATAAGGCATAGAATAAAAACGTGTGAAGTATTATATAAAAAAATCTACAGTTAGATAGTATATGTAATAGAAGACTGGGAAATTGAAAAATTAGTTTTAGTTTTTAGCTTTAAAAGAAATTATCTAAAGATAACTGTAATACAAAAGAAGCAATTTACAAAAACCTTTATGGCATGCAAAGAAAAGAAAAATTATTATTAAATATTAGACATTTTTACCTGTATCAGTCGACTTATCCATTCACTGTACTCCAATGACTCAACATTTGGAAATATATATGTCAAAAAGTCCCTTCGAATCTTAATACAGTCTAAGTAAAATCGGTTTATTTTATCCAAATTCTCTACTTGAATTTCATCATTTGTCACTACAATTTTAACACAACTCATTAAAAAAATTGTGTGACGAACCTAAATGTCACTATAATAAGTACATTAACCGAAGGTAATGTTTATTACCTTTGCCACTGAAAATTATTCTATTCAAAACCTCTACAATCAATTTAGCGCAGTTTTGTTTCACACACGAAAATTCAAGAAATTTACATCTCGTTTTATTTAAAGCATTTAAAACTGTTGTAAGAAATTTACAGCTTTTACCATCAATATGTTCAATACCCTAAAAAGGAAAAAATGTCAATTCCGAAATTAACGTTTAAAGCAACTTTTGATACTTACGTGTAATAAGTATAAAATTGTTAATAAATTTTCGTAGTCCGTTTTTGAGACTAAATCATCAATTTTTGGAGCCAAAAAATCTTCAGAATATTTTGCAAAAGAGATATATTCCAATTCAATCAAGGTATTCACAAAGTTTGTATAATTCGGCAACGTTTCCCTTGTTACAGAAAACATTTTCGAAAAAGTTTTAAACCAAATGGAATTTACTTCGGCTACACATTTTATATATCTAAAAGTGTCTCTTAATTTATTTGCATATTCGACATTATAGAGACGTTCCATAAATAAAACCTCCAGTGTTTCTTCTGGACTTTGTAATATTAAAATTAAAATGTCATTGGCTATGGAAGACTCGTCCTGTTCATCTTTAATTCTTCCCAAAACTTTTTTCAAACTCTCCTCAATATTATCAACTATACACAAATCTGAATTCACCCCATATTCATAAAAGAATCTGGTTATTATAATATTTAATTTTGATGGTTCTAAATTCTTAGCGCAATTCAATGCGACTTGTTTAACTTCTTTACTAGTGTAGTTTCTACTTAAATTTAAAATACGAAATACGTCTTCATCGTTGCACAAATGTGTGTACTGTTTTAAACACTTTGTAGCTTTTTTATTAGAAAACACATCGGTATTTAATAATGCAACGAACCATTGTCTTTGAATATCTGGTTCTGAATCGGTGTCGCCAACTCTATCGACGATACTTTCCACATCTGATTCTAGAATGATTTCTCGCAAACTTTTCGGTTTTCGGGAAATCGTCGACAACATGTGAACAAGTTTTTTGGCAGGACCATACGAATTATATTTATTAACTACATTATATGCTTCAAAAGCTATAACAGTTTGAAGAGGGTGTCCCTCAAATGTAATCTAAAATAAAAATTCAAAAACAATAAAACAAGTTTTAGTAACCAATATTACAAAAGACTACGGTCAATAAAAATAAATGTCCCTTGCAGGAATGAGTGATATTTTCCCTAAAAAAATAATTACGTATATTTTTATTGGTTGATATTTTTTCATTATTATCGGTATATTTCATTTAGAATAAATAAAGATGTCACTCAAATTATGAAATGATTTTCTATAATCTACTCTCATCGACCCTACTCCTTTACAGTTAAAATATAAAGCAACAGAAATAACAAAGAAAGAAATAAAACTTACTTCTGCCCAGATACAAAATACATCGACTGATACTGCATTCATAATAAATATACTTGCAGAAATTAAACCATTAATTAACTTGCTTAATAGATTACTTTCTTCATTACAAACTAATAGAAGTCTTAATAAATTTATTAAAGTGTATCCCATATGACTGTAAACACGTTTTGAAGTCCAACCCTCTATTAGATCTGGATTAACTCTTCCAACACCTCTTGCAACTTCTACTCCCGCATCCGTTAGCCTTTCTAGAATTTCTTTATTCTGTAAAAAGAAGACTACAAAGGTGGCAAATATTCTTTATAAATAGTTAAAGGAAGTTTAAATTAAATATTTACCTGAAAATTGTCATCAATAAGAGAAAAAACTAAAATTATCGTCTTCAAAAAGTTAACAGCTGGTGGTAAACTTTTTTGAGGAAGAGCTCTTTTGGAAAATACTATAAATTCATCTACCATTTCCAATATAACTTTCGGAGAAAGTAAACTATGAATTTTTGGAAGACATTCTGATAACTCTACTTCCACCAATATACTTATTAAAACACATTTAGAAAGAGGTGGAATACTGTTCAATAAATGAACAACAGACTCCTGATTTTTAAAAGAACTGTCTTCAAAGTCTGTGTTAACTATAAGGCATAAAACTATGTTATTTACATTTTGTTGAAATTTATATTCAATGTGACTGCTTTTAATGTATGTTTTCAATGACAAGTACTCCTTTACAGAATTTGAAATGGAAAATAGCTCGATTTCCTTTCCTGTAAGTTAAATTAATAACAATTTGTTTAAATAGGTTTGCATTATGATTGGTTACCTCCTCTAAATTTCAAGTCTATAAGTGGTCCAACATCTTTAATCACATTTGATAAAAGCATTTGTAAATAAAGAAAATCATCCGTAGAATTCATACTAATTTATTATTACTGTTATTAATGTTAATCTTCGACTTTTCTTTTATTTCCGACTAAGCTTTTCAAATATATAACCTACAAATTTTTAACCATTTTATAAGTTAATATAAATAGTGTCTAAAGCTCACACGATCCCGTATACAAGACTGGTGAACATAATGCCAAATTTATTCGATGTATTTAAAAAACTGGTATATGAAATAAAATAGGAGAGTTGGTATATATAGCAAAAACTAGATTTGATATTTCGTTCTAAAAACTAAGGATTGGAAAGTATAAAAATTACAAATATTCACGGTCCACTATGTATTAACAGTATAGAGACACAATTTATAAAACAAATTATTTCAGTTTACATTGTTTGTTTACATCTTATTGTTTACATTTATTAATAAATTGCCAATTTATGGCAAAGTCAAACGTATCATATTTGTAAAACAAATCAGTTGAACTAGAAAAATACCTATTCCAGGAGAATGTTACATTTTTAAGAGAAAATTAAATTGTTTCCAAAAAAAGTGATACCGCCAAGCAAATTTAAAAAATGTGGCGGACAATTTCCTCGGATGACAAAGTTTATTTGATAAAATTCTTGTTTAAAGATGGAATGCATATGCAATTAACAAATTTAGAAGATTTGTGGGAGGCAAAATTATCTACAAAAGAATTTATGAAGAAGTTTCAGGCAATTGCAGCAAAACGTTGGAGTTTTTAGTCCTAACCTAAAAACTATTTATTTTTAGGATTTAAATCCACATCTAGATTCTTTTGAATTGAGTAGTATCATTAAACACGTTTCTTCTTTGGTAAAGGATCTTCCTGATAATGAAATAAAAATAATTAAAAAAGGCGATGATGTTCATATTGGATTGAAGTCTAAATGTGATGGAATTACTATTAATTTTGAGTTGCCCCTTAATTCACTACCAAAAAATGCAGTAAGTTTTAAAAAGACAAAAACGATCCTCCTTAATTCCTTCTTTTGAAGATAATTAAAGGATTAATAATACCTTTAATGTTAACTGTTCAACATTTGGAATCATGCCAAAGCCAGTTGTGTGATTTACTTGAAAAGAAAGATGCACAAATTCATGAATATGAAATTGAATTTGGTGAATTGTCTAAAAGTAAGAAACATGTTTAACCTCAGTGAGTGTGTTATTTATATTATTTTTTTCAGAATCTCTGGTAACTGAAAAATTTTTCAGAAAGGTTGCCTTTGATAAACCACCTGATAACTTACTTTTAGATGTATTTTATAGAAGAAGTTTTTGGGAAAAAATGTCCTCTAAGTATGGAATTGAACTACCTTCTAAGTATTTAATCAATTTTTATTTTTTTAATGGCTCTTTCTAAACAATTTATTTGTAGAGTGATTCCTGCAAGTATTACAACAAAACTTAAACGGGGAATGGTTCCAACATATAAGCCACCGGTAAAAAAAGGTGCTGGAATTGCATTTTATGGGGCAGAGACTTCAAAAAAATGAATTATTGAAACAGAAAGCCAAATTTGATATAATAGTTGAAAACAATTTTTTAAATTCAATATATTAACATTTTTAATGAATATGTTTCATTATTAATAATTATGGACTTCTTTTAGACAAATAGTAAAATGATGAGTTTCATTTACCGCCTTTTACAATATCAGCCGCAAAAACGTTTTAGAAATTTCAACGTTCGTGTATTAATATAGATATTCATACTTTAAATCTTTAAAGTATATATGAAAACTTTAGGTCGTGGTATCAAATTAGTTGTTAATTTATCAAAAAATACATTGTTTAGGTAATTAGATAAACCTCAAATGTCAGAAAATATTTTATTAAGTAAACGGAATTGTTTGCAGAGACATTATTTGGCTGATTTTAGAGCCATTACCCAAAAATTATGATTTGCTTGGTTATAGTAAGTTGTCAACTCGTATCTATGGTTGTCAAACTGACGTCTTGTTTTATGGCTGTTTTGATAATTTTGTTTTGATTATGAGTTTATTATATTTGTTAGACTATAATAACCTAATAAGTAATCTGCAAGTATATATTTAAACTGGAGACGATAGTAAGTGATAAAATGGATGAGTCTATCGGATCTCAATATGCTTTACAAGTAGCTTTACATACTCTCAAAGAGCGATGTCAACACTTTCAGGAGAGACTAACCCAGTTAGAGGACGAGAACGTTAAACTCCGAATGAAAATAAACAGCTCGGAAGAAGACAATTGCAGCTCTGTTTCAGAAATTGGGAAATTACGCCAAAAGGTAACTGAACTGACAGAACAAAAAGAACAATTACAAAATAATATTGCGATGGTTGCAAATGAAAATAAACACCTGTGGGCAAGATTAACCAAATTAATGTATCTTAAACAATCTTTAGACTCAAAGCTTAACACAATTAGTGGTAATTTTACTAAAGACTCTGAACTTCGAGGTAGTAAAGATTCTGAAGATGATAAATCTGACAATATTCTTGATATAAATGGTAAAATTAGTTTAGATTTAGAAGATATTTCTCTTAAATTGATATCCAGTATTGCTAAAGAGAAATCTGAATTGGAACTGCAATGTTCAGAAATGGCCGAGTTACAAAACGGAAAACTCAATTTGGAAAACAAGCATGGATTTTCATATTTGATAGAAGATGATAACAATTCAAGCAACAAAAATTTTGAAATCCACATAGACAAACTTAAGAATATAAAAATTCAATTATTACAGCAGAAGGATGAATTACAGAAAAATTTAAAAAATATACAACAAATAAACAGTAAGCATCTTTATATTACTTTTTTTTTTGGTCTATTTATCTTTTATTTTCCTTCTTTTGCAGCTCACTGTAAGAAGTGTCAAAAGGCAGTTTTAAAAACAGATAGTAAGTCAACTCTCACTTCTTTTCCCAAATTGGAAGTAGCAGATTATGAAGAGCAACTTCAACTGGAAAGTTTATCAAAGTGGGCCACACCAGAAAACTCTAGTACATTTATAGATAATAAATTTTTTACAGTAACCGGTGCTAAGTTGAATAACATAAAAAAAGATGCTAGTCAAGAGGTGGATAAGATTTGCCCCATGTGTTGTGAGATTTTTGGAAGTAAAGTGCCCTTTCTAGAGTTCCAGCACCATGTAGAAGCTCACTTTATAGAAAATATTGTTAATTGATTGTTAATAAAAGCAATGATATATTTTTAAGCAAATTGATGAATGTAAATAGGTGATGTTTATTTTTTGTATGTTAAACCATTGCATTATTTAAAAAAAAGCATTCTTAAAATAACATATTTTTATAATTCCTTAATAGTTTTTATCCAGTATTGGATTTTTTGAATTATTAAAATCAAAACTTAAACCTGTTACATAATTTAAAATATAAAAAAATCTATAATCTTGTACCTTTGAGGAAGNGCAACAGTTTTATTGCGGACATCCTATTGAAAATTAATAATTTTTGGAAATTTTTTGACTTGGAAAGGATAAAATACAAAAAATTTATTCTCCATGCAACATATTCAGAAAATTAGAAAAAAGTAAACCTTTAAATCTACGTTTATTAAATTGACATAAAATTTAACTAACTAGAATAGTAAAAAACTAGTTGTAAACTATTAATTATAATTCACCCTAAATCTGAAGGCTTCACATCTTTTGTAGTAGCAGGCTGTTGAGTAGTTTTTTGTAATAAATTTCTACTGAACCAGGAAGGTCTTTCCTTTTTCATTTCAACAATTCTTTTTCCTTGCCAGGTTTCTGCTGGTTTCTCATCTTTTTCTCCTTCATAAAGCACCACTACTTCATTCTCAACAGGTTGTAATCCTAATTCATTTTGGATATTGTCTTTCATTTCTTTAGTTTCATCCATTACTTTTTTGTAACATGTTGCTGCATAATACAAAGAACATTAATACTACATGTAAATATTAAAAGTGAGAAATTTACTCACGGCACAGAACCCCAATTTCATGATCGTCACCACAAACATTACAAACTTGCAAATTGGTCTTGGGCAGAATTAATTTTAAATGATACCCTGGTATACCATATCTTCGTTTATGTCTTCGCTCAATAGTCCTTCTACTTTTCGGTACTGCCCAAAGAAATGCATCGTTCAGGAGATCTTTCAAGTTAAATTTTTTTGTTTGGGGCTTATAGTAAATTTCCTCATTTTCAACAAAAGATAAACAGTAATCTGTCAAGAAAAGTGAGGTTAAGTGACAGCGTGTTGCTAAATCAATCAAGAAGCAGCACTTCATTACGTAATTTTTTGAGTACAAACTTTACCTGGCGGAAACCTTCTCAATAAAGTTAACCTGATGAGATCGTCTACATTCCGCTGGAAAACTTCGCCAAAACTTTTTAGAAATGCAACAACAGCCATCACGGTTTCATTCCCAAACTGTTCGTTCCACTAGTCGTTTTATCCGTAGTGGGACTACAAAGCGGTCAAGTGTGGTGCGATGAGGTGCTTTCTTGTTGCGGCGAATAATCGCGGCTTCACAACAGTCTTGACGATGGCTTGCTTAGGGTCCGCTAGGCTTTGTGTACGAGTGCAAGAAAAACTGTGTCAGTTAGGACATCTATCACAAATAACTAGGAATAATTCGACTTGCGTGCGCTCAAAAGGGTTTCCGGCTTTTATTACTGTCAATAATTCACAGAAATGCCAGGTAAGACTATTATTATATTATTAAATTATTTGATTTGTTAAATTAATGAATTCCATTTTCTTAAGTTAAAACATGAAATAAGGGGTTGTAAAGGGTTAAAGTAAGTTTTCCAACAATAAGATTACGCAATTGCTAACCTTTGCCACAAAACAAATCGCGCGATTGGTGGTAAAAATTTAAAATTAGTGATTTAGCGGCAAAATATTTAAAAATAGTTTTGTCATACTTGAATAGATGGCGATACTGGGATATTTTTAAAATTAAATTGTGTTTCTGCTTTGTTTAATGAAATTGTACATTATTCTTTTTTTTTTATTTGTTTGGCCATCATGCTTTCAGTTAATAATGACATAATATTTAAATGTTGTAGTATGTAAAGATAAATAAGAGCGAAGTAAATTACCGATGTAAACAAAGATTTTCTTATTATTAATTAAGTTCGAAAAGTAGGCTACCAAGCGGATCTAGTTGTATAAAACTTGTATGTGAGTATAATTTGTGTAACTTTCTCATTTACTGACTTTTGCGTTACTTTCTTCGAACATCTTTGCCGTTATCGTTTCATTGACCGCTTCTGGATACTTTTGTTCGTTTTCTACAAGATTCACTTCATATCAATATAAAAATGCGCAACTTTTATGTCTTCGAGTTTATGTATAGATAAATAGGGTGGAACAGCAACAGGTGAATCTTGTAGAAACGAACAATACCGTATTGTTATTAAATACCTAAACCCATATTAGATAAACTTTTAAATTTTTTGACAAATCTTTTTAAGTAACGGTATTAGACATAATATTGACGCAATTTTTCAAATCTCTATCAAATTATCTATAATTTACATACGACAATTTAATTAAAAGTAAAATATGAAAATAAAAGTTGACATCTTTCTATACTTTCCAATATTAATGTGCTATCGCTCAACATTGGAATCAATTTAAAAATATATTTTCATCGTAAGAAGCTACAAAATGCAAACTGTTTACTTTCAGAGAAATAAAAATTAAAGAAGTCTGCTTCTCGTTAGTTTTTATTTCTATTTTGCACATATTTAAACAAATTGTTAATTGTGTTTTTATTTTTTAATTAATTATCGAAAGTAAACAATTAAATATTATTTTAGAGAAAATTTAATCTACTAATTGAAGACTGATGTACATGCATGAGCGAATAAAGAAACAAATACTTTAAAATAGTGTAAATTAATGTTATAGGTATTTTTAAAAAATAAATTGTAAAACTTTCATAATTGACAAATAAAGATTAATGAATTAAGTACACATTATGTAATGGAGTAATGCGGCAGATGGTTTATACTCATATAAAAAAACCTAGCAGTTCTTAATGGTTCAGTATAAAATAAAATAAAATATAGAAGATTGTGTGTCTAAAATATAAGTATTTTCGTGATTTTTTTTGCGTTATAAAATTCGAATCCTTGGAGATGAGCATTTCGCGAGTTTCACCTATGGTGTGTGTCTATATCTGCAACTACTTAACTTTTGTACTAGATATAACAATTTTTAGAGTATTTTGTAGTACTTAATGGTGGTTGTTATAAGTTTTAATGACTTATTTTAAAACCTTTCCCACTTAATTGAATGTAAATCGGGATTATATGTTTGTGTTGGTGTAGTTACCTAATCAATGCCAAAATTCGAAAGATTTGGTGAAAACAGCATTTAATTCGGTTAAAAAATAGTCTAAGTAGTTACTTCTTTTATTTCCAATATTAAGCGGCGTCTAACATTGTTCACTTCCGCATTCCTTAAGGAGATTCAGGTACAATTTGTTCTACTTCTTAATTGCTCACTTAAATGGCCACCGACCTAATAACCATTTCGATGCATTATATATCGTTAGTTATTCTCAATGCGCTTGGAGAATACATTTCGTTCATTAAATTTTCGATTATAATTAAGTACATTAAAATTGTTTCAGGACTTATGAAAATTATGTGGTGAGTACTTATTTTTTGGAACTCCTTAACATTGAAGGTATTTTTTTACGATTTTGAAAGTTAAATTAATATTCGCATATTATCTGCACAGATACGTTTACATTATTACTTTTTATGAGAATATGTCTTTCTATTCATTATAAAGCTATCTATATATATTAATGTGAAGATTCATTTTCAATCTTTTATCCACTACTCAAGTTAGGAAAAACTGTTGCTGTTTAAATTTTATTTCGTAATGTCTCATTTACGCTTACCGTTAATTTGATTATCCTGACTTCATTTTTCTCGACGTTGTTATCGTATCATAGATAATTGATATGGAAAGGTTTTTATTACAAATAGATTGGTTAGATTCCATATTAAAAAATTGACAATGATCTTGTACTACTTATATGGCATAATTGACGAAGCGGTTGCAAAACGTGCCGTTTTTTTTTATAATTGAAACAAATTGCACAACGAATTAACCACCCACTTCTACCAGGTTGTTAAACATTTCGCATGGCTGTCATTGACCGTAATGGTACTAAACAAATCGGTGGGTCATTATAACACAGAAACATACTCATCATTAACATCGTTGGATATGTAGGTAACTCTGGATGTGTGATGTAACAATTGAAAACTACTACTACACACGTCGGTTTCTTATGCAGCCTGTTGAATATGTTTACACATACAAATGAAATCATAAAAGCACGCGCGCAGGTAGATTTGTTAAATTATTATGTGCGAAATTTGGCAAACTTGGCTCTAGAAAGGAAGCTTATAAAGTGGAGCAAGGATTTTTTTAAATCAAACTGAAGCAGCAGGCACTTATTTATTTCAAATGAATTCACAATGGATAGTATTAAAAAATTATTTTTATTTGCATTCGACTTTTTATTAGACGAATAATTAACTAGGGGGGGGGGGCGCTGGCCCAGTATTTTCAAAGCTCTTGTGCAAAACAGAATGAGTTAGTTAGTTAACGTAATCAGATACCGAGGGGACATGGTTTCGCCATCTTTAAATAAATAAAAAAACGAAATGTGTGCTGGGACATATAGTAGAAGTGAAACTTTAACGGACAAGTGGAAAAACGAATCGTAAGTTTTACGGGCAGATTGTTAATGTACTTGAAAACCTACCCGTAAAACTTCAAGTAAAAATTTTGTTTTTACGTTTTTCCACTTGTCCGTTGAAGTTTTACTTCTACTATGTGTCCCAGCACACATTTCGTTTTCACCGGTTTACTGCAAATTATGATTTGGTTTTTACACAGACCGCAAATAGAGGCAATGATGCCCAGCCACGTGGAGAGCAGAGGTAAGAAAACGACAGCTGAGCACAGCACACGCCGCAGGGACTCTAGCAGACTCCTCGCTCTCCGCGCGGCTGCGCATTATATCCATCTAATACAGCCGTTGCCCTCTCTCCTTTCGCCGCTGCCGCCTCGGACCACGCAATATACCGTCTACCCTCTCCACGAGACCGTAACGCTTTTTCGTGACTGAAAAAATAGTTCTAAAACTACAAAAAGGGTTGTACTTGTGTTGCGTTCTAATAATTCCTTTAGTTGTACTGTATAATACTCTGATTTCTGAATACCTGTCAAGTCCCCCAGAGGAAACGTAAAAAGAGTTATTTCTAAATTAGTAGTAAAGTAATATTTTTTCTGCAGTAATCGTTATGATTTTCAGTGAGAATACAACCACAGGCTACATTCATAAAGCAAAGGAAATTATAATCGTCATCATACGATCTTTTTCCCGAAGGCTTTGCTTTTGGGTACCTCCATTTCTTCCTTTTTTGAGCCAATCTTCTCATTTCTTTAAAATCAGAGCGACAGTAATCTAATCTAGGTTTAACTCTGCTCCTATTAAGCCCTGTTTTTTCTCTTGGTATGTTTCTAACTAGCCCTTCACCCACTTCTGCTTATCTTGAGTCAATCTTCGCGTTTTTTGAAAACCAGAGCGATAATATCTAACTCTACTTTCTGTTTTCAGTACATCTCTGACTAGCTCTTTTTGCCTGAGAAGATGCCTTACCTACCTATTTCTCCTATTTTTTATTAACTTCCATGACGCCCTCTATTCCCTACTCTTTTTAAAACCTTATCTCTAAGCGCCCACCGTCCACGTTTCTCACTTATACAGAGCCGTGCTTCAAACATGTTATATATCTCTACCGTTTTTTCTATCTTTCGATTTTATTATCTGACTTCCTAAATATCAAAAATCGACGATTTCTTTTCATTACATAAAATTCCTTCTACCCTTTTTTCCAATTTTCTCAGTAAGATTCTAATTAAGATTCTTGACGTATGAGAAGTCCGATGATATCCTCCGAGGTAGTCCTCGCCCGGACGTCCAAATGAAGTACCATTTTACGTCTGAAATGCTAGCTAGCGCCATCTTTAAAGTTTTCTAAATTTGTAATAAGGTAATAAATAATAATTGCTACACTATTCGTTATGTTTTTCACTGAGAATACTAAGTACCGCACTACAGACTAGATTCAGGATTTTGCAGCACTTAGTAAAACAAAGGAAATTATAATAAAATCCCTATGCTAGAAAAGATTGTTAACTATTCAGCTTCCTTCGTGCACCCAACTGTTTTAAATTACTTTAAAACGTCATTAAAAGTGTTTTGTTTAAGCGCAAGTTTAATTTCGCTCTATTAGCTTGAAGACCGCTGGCGATAATAAACACGTGGTATGAATTTTGAAAGCTTTTTAATATGGCGGTTTAGGCATTTACAATTGTTTTGTTTTTTTATACGTATGTCGGCAAACGGTTGACGATATCTAGAAGTTTTTCAATGATGTAATCAACACTTTTGTCGTCGTTCTTGTTAATATCTGTTTGTGAAACTAGGTAAAAGCCGTTTGTTATCTAATAACCGAGGTGTTCGTATTATGGTGGGTTAGCGCGTTCGTAAGGTAACAGGTAAAATGGCAGACATTATTCGTACATACATGCATATAATGCTACATTAGGTGTACATATACAACATGCTGACCGATTTCCTGCATTATTCTTTTGACTATA